AGCGACGGCGAGGATGAAGCTCACAACGAGACCACAATGCACGATGATGAAGAGGCGGGAGGAGATCAAACATTGCAGAATGGAAAGTCATACACCATGGCTGAAGAGGCTACCGACTACAGTGTCTTCTCAAACCCACCGGAACTTGGGCACATGCGCCAGAGACTTTTTGATCTGGAAGAGCCTATTGAGGTTACGGTCGCCGAGTTCGAAGCACTTTATCCGTTTGTTGACAACATCTGGCGTAAGATGAGATCGGGTGAACAACCTGACAGCAGCCTGCGCACAGAGTACTATGCTTGCAGACTACGACGGACCACGGCTGCAAAACCCCATATCCCTCGGCCAACACCAGAGGGCAAGCAGTCGCGAAAGAAGCGCATTCGGGATGACAAAACCTGTGGTATGACGATGAAGGTGGTCTATAACCCTGGCCCAGCCACTACCTGCACCATTTCCAGAGGAGTCGACAACTTTCAAAAACATTCCCATGATCTGGACTATATCGACTCAACTAAGCGCAATGCGGGCATCATGGACACTGCACGACGGGAAGCTACAAGAGGTTTCTTGCCTGCCTCGATCTACTGGAAGATGTGGGAGGAGCCCGACAAGATGCACGCTGCAGGTGGAAAGTGGATGAAGGTGTCGGATGTCCGGAACGTTCAGTATGCCTGGCGGCAGGAGAATCAGCAGACGGTTCTGAAGGCGCATACAGGCTTCAACCAGACAAGAGCACCTCGTCAGCGTCCTGCAACTCCGCCTAAACCTGCTCAGCCATCTGTACAGCCTGGTGTTTTCGGACGACTAGAACCGAGCAAGCCAGAGACAGCCCGGCCTGACCTACCGCCTGTGCAGATGGATACCTTGCAGTACCCACAGCATGCTAGAGGTTTTCTTGAGCAATATCTACCAGACCCAAAACTTGCCGCGAGTCGAGGGCGGCCGCACGTCACACTTACCTGGGCCAGTGGTCTTGATGGCCGCATCACACAAGTACCGGGCATCCCTACCGCTATTTCTGGGCCCGAAACAAAGGCAATGACCCATTATCTACGAAGTTGCCATGATGCCATCTTAATTGGTGTTACTACGGCCATTGCAGACGACCCTGCCTTGAATTGTCGGCTCGCCAATCCTGCGGGTTATGGAGGACTGCCCAGGGAATACCAGCCTCGACCTATCATCATTGATCCGCATGCTCGCCTGCATATTCGCCCAGATATGAAGATGCTCAAGGCTGCCTCCGAAGGTCGTGGAAAAGGTCCATGGGTCGTGGTGGCACCTGGAGCAATGTTACATCCCATGGCTGTCAGCACCTTGAAGGCGCATGGAGGCGAATACTTGATGATCAACGATTACCACCCACAATCTGGAGGCTTGAACTGGGACGGAGTATTTCATGTTCTCTTCCGCGAAGGTATCAAGAGCGTTATGATTGAAGGTGGCGGCATTGTCCTTTCTGAATTGCTGAAGGTGCGCTATGCACATGTCATCGACTCTGTCATCATGACCATTGCCCCGACGTTTTTCGGCAAAGCAGGAGTACCAGTTTCGCCCGACCCAACGTTTGATTACGCTGGGAGACCAATCGCGACAAGGCTGAAGAAGGTGCGATGGCAGCCCATGGGAGATGCCGACGTTGTGCTTTGTGGTCAGATGGTCATCGATCGCCCAGCGAATGGCATTCTGCCTGGCATCGAAGAGTTTTCGCAAGCTGCACCAGAGCCTAATCAGCCACAGAAGATGCCGCCACCGCAAGGACAGCCCCAGGCGCCACCACCTTCACAACAACTACCACCTCCACATGCCCAACAGCCACTCCCGCAGACACAATCACAGGAACAACATGGACATTCAACACCTGCTCAAGTGAATGCAGCCCTTCCAGGAGCACCAGCGGGAGCGGCACCAGCTGTTGGTCATTCTCCGTCTCCAGCTGTTCCCGCTCAAGCTTCGCCTAGTAGCTGATTGTTGCGAGACATGGTCACCAAAGCTGCAACTTGAATATTAATGCCACGACCTATGACTATCACGACGGAAGGTATCAAAAAGCGTTTCAGCACTAGATTTTGTTTGCAAGCGACAGCACCGAATGCTATTTTCTTGAGGTTGAGCTGTATCAGCTGTGATGATGGCGTACGGGAAGATGCCCAGACGGCGGCCGAATTGTTGTTTTCAGTGCAGCCGCAGCAAAGACGTGCATCGGCCCGAAAACTGACCCCAGCCAGGAGAGCTAAATGCTATGAACAGCGGGATACCCCAAAGATGGTTCTGACATGCTAGTGGGAATATTGAGCTGGCCGAGTTTACCATCTGGTTAACTCGAGTCGCTGCGATTAGCGCAAGGAGTTCCTGGATTTAATCTCAACGAGCTTCAGACAATATAATTATCTAGCCCGTTACTGTACGTGATGGGCGCCGTCCATGAATTCATGCCGTCCATAGGACCGAGCCATACTAGTATGGGGCCTTCATTGTGCTTGTCTAAGACCATTATTCCACCCATGTACTAGATGAAGCTTGTCCTCCATGCAGGGTCTCTGGAGGCACTGGCCGCGGTGAACAGTAACGAGATGATCTCTAAGTGCAGCGTACGCCGTTTCTGAACGTGGGCATCTCGTTAATGCAGGATCATCAAGCACTTAGATCTGACGTCAAGGATCTGAGAATATATTATCCCAGAATTCCAATACACTGGAGCTAATCCGGAACCCATCAAGCTTGCCATCATCCGTTCTCCTCAACAACATTCATCTAGCTGCCCTTTCTGGATGTTGCTAACTCCGTCCCCGCGTCTGATCTGGTCACGATCGTTGCAGAATTTATTGCTTTCCCCGCAATATGAACACATTCCCGGGTCAATATGGGCCGAACAATAACATGAACGCGGAGTGCTAGGAAGCAACCGTCACCATGTCGAGGAAAGCATGACTTCCAAGGTATAAAAGCTGGCAATCGCCACACCTGAGGTATCCATATGGACATGGTACAGTATCTGAGCCTGACCTCCCCTCATTCACGATGATAGCGCTGTATACTTTCTCAATATGCTTGTTGTTCGTCAACCTGGCCTTCTGCGCCATCCCTCTTTCCCTCACACCGCCGCAAAATGCTAGCCAGCCCATCCTCGAGTCTTTTGTAGCATTTTCCATCGAGTTCTCCTCGTTCCCAGACTTTGCAGGTATGATGTATGAACCACTATTCTCCTGGTACTAACCCTCCAGGCAATTCGAGCAGTCCAAACACCTTCTCATATAATCTCCTGACCAACCTACGACAACTTCAAGGATCCTATCCAATCATCAGAGTCGGAGGAAATACACAGTACGATCCATGATGGGCTCGAGCATCTCAGATAATGACAACTCGCAGGGACTATGCCACGTTCAACAGCACTCAGACGCAAGCTCTGATAGGCACTTTCAACTTCAGCCGATCAGCGGACTATCCGACCACAATATCCATCGGCCCGTCGTACTTTGACTCTTACTCGACCTGGCCCAACGTGACTTTCCTACATGGATTCAACCTAGCAAAGAACGGCTCAGTCGGGTACGACACCCTGGTCGGCGAAGTGCCTTTAGTTTGCAAGGCGCTGGACACCAGCAAACTCGCCTATTTCCAGCTGGGCAACGAGCCAGACCTGTACAAGACGAGCTCCCAGGGTCCAGTCCGACCCAGCTGGTGGAATGAAACGGACTACGTTGACGAGTGGCTCAACAAGACCCGACTCATCAGACAGATCGTCCAACAGGACTGTCCAGATGTGATCACCCAGGGCAAATTCAAGTTCTACGCCCCCAGTTTCGGAGGGGCAGGCAACAGTCTCAACCTGATCACCACATGGAACGCCGGCCTCGACACCGACAATGACATAGCATTTATTGACAGCCATAAGTGAGCCCAACGCCCTCCTGCAATTCATTTCTCCTGTGCTAATAAGACACGTGTAGCTACATCGGCGGTGCTACACAACCTGGCGTAACCCTACAAGGCACCCTGATGAACCACACCTCGACCGTACTCTCCGTATCGCACCACCTGAACGAATCACGTCTACTGTCCGGCACCGGCATCCCCTATATCCTCGGCGAAACAAACAGTCTATACAACGAAGGCGCGCCGGGTCTATCCAACTCCTTCGGCGCCGCCCTTTGGGGCGTAGACTTCAATCTCTACTGCGCTGCGACAGGCATTCGACGCACGCACATGCACCAGGGCACGAATTACCGGTACGCCAGTTGGCAGCCCATCCAGACCGTCAACGAGACTTTGGGGACTAAAGCGCCATACTACGGCAATATCATGGTCGCAGCGTTCCTGGGCGATTTGAAAACATCGAACGTGAGTATCGCGGACATCGAGTTGGGGAGTACTTACCAGAATTCTTATGCTGCGTATGTGGACGGGAGATTGCAGCGCATTGCGATAGTCCAGATGAACGAGTGGAACACCACGAATGGAACGGCGGGAACGCGGCCGAGTGAAGCGTTCACGTTCCAGGTTCCTAATGCTGCGTCGGGCGCTGGTGTCAAGGGCGTGAGTGTGCAGCGACTCATTGCAAATGGCAGTGATGCTATCACGGGGATCACGTTTGATGGGCTTTCGTATAATTACGAGCTGGAGCAGGGGAAGCCTATTAAGTTGAACAATGTCACGAGAGGTGAGGTCCTGCAGGTTGCGCAAGATGGGGTGGTGAGCGTGGATGTGCCGTGGAGTAGTGCTGCGATCTTGAATCTGCAGTGGTAGGACAGGTAGTCTTACTGTGATCAACGCATCTGCTTTAACCTCAGCTTCGAAAGTGGTAAATTAGGTAGTTGACTTGCCGTGGTCGTACGCGGGTGAATCTGACGCGAAAAAGGGGCTGATACTTTTTGACAGCTGTACTCAACCCACTTCGCAGACTCTCATTTTGGCCCCCAGACCACAAAAATGAAACGAGTTGAACCCAGCGGGACACGAAAAATACAAAAAAGAAGTCCTATGCAGGGTGTTTATGCTCCCTACTGGATTTGAACCAGTGACTTCGACATATGCAGTAAATGATACTAGTGTCGCACTCTACCAACTGAGTTAAAGCTGAAAGTGGATGTTAGTAATATGTCCCGCCAGATGTTGACAAGACATCTCAAGAGCAACTTACGAGCAAGTCTGAGCATTGTATGAGAAGATGCTGTTGCAATCGTCTCAATGCCAGCGAAAATGTTGTTAGCAAAACATATATACGTGGTGGTCTTAGGTTTCAGGCATGGGGACGTTGAGTGTGGATTTGACGGGTTTGACAGCTCAGGGGGTGGCGCCACAGACCCAGCAGAGCAGTGGCTACTAGAAGTATCACCAGCAGGAAGAAACGACGGCAGGATATCGTCTTCAAGCGGCACAGCAAGTATGCAACCAAAGGAACATACTATGGCATTGGACTTGCACCAGCAGCCTGCCACCAACCTATGTCTTGACACACAGGTTCGTCTTTCTATCTGCAAAGCAATCCCACGACATATGGCTTCGAGACTGGTCATGGTGGTAAGACCTCGACGAGATCGTGCGTTGAGTCTTCATATCCCACTGGATTCTCACTCCTATGGTTCGCCATAGTATGGTTGACGGCTTGCTCTTTAGGACTCAAATTCCGCGCTGCGTACGTCCCTGATTCAAAATGCACACAATGCATTCTCCAGAACGATTCTGATTAGGCCGCGCACAAAGCCTGCAGAGAAGCACCCATAGATATCAAGGTGTAAATAATTACAGGTGAAGCAGCGCTCAGTGGTGACTCGACGAGTGTCGAGCATCGATGCCCGTGAGACGTTGGCCTGTCGGATTGCAACCGTCCGATACTTGTCGAAGGGGTGTGAACTCCAATGATCGCAGCGTGTTCCATGAGCCCCGAGTCCGGCATCGAGCAGGCGGCCCTGTGGTCATTTGAGGGTGTTCGTACTGCCACCAGCATGCAACAGCTTGGTCTTCGTGCTCATCGACAGAAAATGGAGATTCTGCCAGCTCGATTGGTATCCAGGTATTTTTCATCACCCAAGATCATACATAGCCGCTGTTCTTCGCAAAATGCATCCCGGCAGCGAAGTAGAATAGTTTCCCAGCGATCATGTACTTATCCTCCTTGCTCCACTTGATCAAGCGGTCGTACAGTTCGCTCAAAGGCACCATGACCCGTTCGATCAATTCGCCCTCGTCCAATTTCTGGTCCGGCATGATGTTTTGTTCTCCCTCTGGCAGCTTAACCTCAATCATGACCAGCTTAAGTGTCGCATTTGTCAAACCAGGGTCGCTAGATACGACAGGTCCACTTTCGAGGATTTTGCCCTCATATCCCGTCTCTTCTTTCATTTCTCTTACCGCAGCTTCTTCAGGTGTCTCGTCTGCATCGACCAAGCCTGCAGGCCATTCGATGGTGTACTTGCCCACTGGTGGACGGTATTGGATGACCAGCATGGTACTAGGAGGTTTTGAGGGGTGCACAAAGATATTTCCCATGGCCACCGCATCAACACCGGACTTCGAGGTAGTCTTACGGACGGCGATCTCCCAAGTCCTCGGCGTACCAGTCTGGTCAATAAAGTCGACCTTCTTGAGGGTGACCCATTTTGCTTTCTCCAAAGGGAGATCAGTGATCGAGACCACTTGGGGCTCCTGCTTAGACATCGTGGGCGGTCAAGGGTTGAAGAAGATCGGGAACGGCGCTGCTGGTCAGGACTTTAACCGAAGCAGCTTCACAAATGATGTGTGTTACAGGAAGCAGATAATATGTCAAACGCATACGAACGACAATGAATGTGATGCAGTTTGGAGATTGAGGATGTGGAAATCTGGTTGGACAATGACGTAGAGCATTTGTTGGAGACCAAACGCGTTAAAGTGCGACGCGTCGAGGGCGTCTTGCATCTAGTTATGCAGATGAATCGAACTGTTCCTGTTCCATTCAAGCAGTAAAACGACAACACCAAGCCATCGAACCCTGTCATAGCCCAAGATGCTCTCGTTCGAGCATGCACGACCGTGCCGTCACCGCGACCCCAGAGCTGAAACCATGCTTCGCCGAACTACTTCGCACCTGTGTGCAACCTCCAAATCCCGTTGTCCGGGTTGAACACGTTTTCGGCAAAGCGCCACGTAGCCATAGAAACCCAGATGCAGATGAGCCAAACGGCAATGATGATCATGCTTCTGATGGCAAACAATCCGATAAGTCTGTCCCTGGCTGTCTGCGCGTTGCAGTATCAGATGGACATCTGCAGATTCAAGCTGTACTCGCTAGACATCTGCACACGAAAGAGCTATTGGGTTTACAACGGGGTGATCTAATCAGGCTCAAGAAATTCAATGTCAAGAAAGCTATCCGTCTCAACGGCCACGGAAAGGTGATTTACCTTGGTGTCGAGAGTTGTGACTGGGTGGAAAGGGAGTTATCCGAAGAATCTCAATTCGAGTCCGAGGGAGGGTTTCTTCGTGAGGACGCAGATCCCCTTGACATCAATATGCCTTCAAACCAGACAGCTAGGCATTCATCCGGAGGAGGACCCGGCCTCGATCATGGCTCGAATATGAACCCTCTGAAGAAAAGAAACATCGAGACCAGCAACTCCCAACAAAACTATCACAAGAAGAGGCAGACAGACACGCAGCTACCCCAGACTACCATGTCTACGCCCAGGAAAAGACCTCGCGACAATGAACATCAGTCCGATGAGGATGAAGATCCCTTCGAGACCATCACGGCGTCTCCATCGCGAATGGAAAAGAGGAGAGAAGCACTTCACCAAATCAGCCAGAACACATTAAGTTTCCAGCACGACTCCTCCGAACTCGAAACGAATAGTCTGTTGGAGATCAATGACGACGCGCGCTCATCGGTACCCGCTCTCACATCAGTTGGGGCAGACGAAGTGGCTGCAGCCAACGTTAGGCAGGATCTCAACATGAAAGTCGAATCTCCTCCCGCAGTCTCGATCAATACACCTATTCACACTCTTTCTTCTCTTCTCGACCCCAGTTCAGCTTTTCCTCGACGGAGCTATGCATGCACAGTCCTAGGTGTCGTCAGCTGGCTCTCACCCTCAATTATTCACAAGGCCAATACGCCGTTCCCGCCAAAGCGGCATATCAAAATCCATGACCCCACAATTTCGAATCGTCAGGCGGGTATCACGGTGGCCGTGTACATTGACGCAAGAAACTTCTTGCCCGAGGTTGGAACAATCGCGTTGCTGCGCGGGGTCGTTATGCAGAGATTCGGAGACGATATCATCTTGAATAAGTATGCCACGCTTGCCGGCCAAGCAGACCATACCTCGAAAGACTGGTTCGTCACCGATGAAGACACACTGATGCAGATGGGATTCGACGTCTTCGGGATGCGAAGCTGGTGGCAGGACCGATTACGATCCAACAAGAACGATCCGCATCCGAGGATCAGATAAGATGGATCACTTTCGACTGGGAAGAGTTTGCATCCTATGCAAGTAATTATGCCGTCACTCCGAAGCCCTTGGTTTGAATATCATGCCTGACCATAGCTCGGCTCTTCCTTTCGTGGTATCCATTGCACCGCTGCATCACACGTATCAGCTCGGAATTCTATCGTCCGGACTCTCCACGTCTCCACACATTTATGGCCCTGGGGCGGTACCAGTGTCTCAAACACTTCGCAGTCCATATCATCGTCACCCTTTCGGAACCCATCACCACACCTCTGGAGGCACAGCCACTTCCTGGTCCTGTTGAGGCTCATTCCCCCCGCGACTTCCACCGACGAGATCGAAACATTCTTCTAGTGTTGAGCTAACACCTAGCTCTGTTCTGCAAGCAGTGCCCAATCGTCCACAATCTTCATTCGCTTCTCGTCGTCCCGTTCCTGATCACATACCAAGAAACACCTTCCCCAGTTCTCTTCCTGCTCGCCGAGGTAGTCTCTGATCCAGCGCATCTGGTCATACCCTACCAACTGCGTCTTCGTGAGGGTTGTGATTTCGTCGGTAAAATCTCGTATCGACGTATACTCATGAGCCTGCAGCCTTCGTCGTGTCCCTCCAAAGACATCGAATACTCTGTCGATTAAGGGGTATGAGATTGTCTCGTCATCCCTTAGCCTAGAATCCACGTGATTGACCGTCCGCGTACAGAAGCGGGCCAGCAATCGCTGGCCATCCTCCTGCGTGAGGCCGATACGGTAAGTGCCTGCAGGAGGTCGCGCTCGGGCACCTTGAGGGGATGCATCGGGAGGGGAACTGCTTTCAAGCAGCTCTTCCGCTTCTTGTGTGAGTTGCTCCTTCTTCGTAAGTCGCTTTTTGTTTGGCCTTATAGGTGGTCGTGTTTCCTCATTTTGGCCGAGATTTTCGGATTCTGTCGGCCCTCGTCTAGGAAGAGAAGTAGATATCCTTGCTGCCGATGTTTTCTTTGGCCTCGGTATACGTAGACGGATCTTCGGATTTGGGACAATCTTTCCCCGGCCAGATCCTTGTGACTGAGATCTCGGTACGGGTGCTTTGACCATCGAGTTGCTCTCTTCTAGAGATACCGACGCTCGCTTCTCTGCCGCACTATCCTGGCCAGCACCCTCTATTGGTGTGATTCGTCTTGTGTGAAAAGGTATGCTCCCCTGCGGGTTTTGCCTAGATCGAAAGGGCGCGCTCCCCTCTTTTGTTGACGGGTCGCCAGTCACATCAGTCATCACCCTATCTTCTGCTGGTGGCATGAATTCAAGGCCGGGTTCAGGCCTCGACTCGGATCCATCGTCGGCCTCAACCTTGACTTGTGGCTCCTCGTCATCAGAGAGGAGCTCAACAAACACTGCAGTAGCCGGGATCCGGGATGGTGTATTCGATCTCTGCTGCTGTTCCTGAGTAATTGAGACAGACTGAGCTGTAGACGGCCTGGATGATTGGGTCGATGTCTTCCTCTGCCTAGATCTAGCCTGTAACCGTCGACGCCTATGTTGGAGGAGTCTCAGCTGTAGATGTAGTTCTTCCTCATCGAGATCTAGATTTTCCTCTTCGTCGTCGGTATTTACCGGAAGTTCTTCCTCCTCAAAGTCCTGTTGAAGAACCTCCTGCTTGATCGTAGGCATGT